CACAAGTATGCACTGAGCACATGTACTCAATCCCCAGAGGTCATCGCCCTATTTCCTCTACTGCCTCTCTTACAAGGAATGGCATTCGAAGAGAGTGATAGAGCTGTATTTTCCTGTTGGAAGCATATTTTCATAAGCATTTCCTCACTTCAACATGCTTAGAAGCGAAATGAAGTCTGAGGGAGGGAAAGACAGTAAGAGTATACCTAGATGTTTTAAATGAATTTAGTATTCCTGGCCAGAGTAAACAACTAACTTCTCTTCGGAACAAAGAAGAAAAAGGAAGAAACACACACACCACACACACGCACACATCCTTGGCCTGAAGGGGATATAGTTGGAGACAGGGCTCATTAAAGGTATTTTCTTTGCCAGGTACACAAGACCCATTGCAGTTGCTCATTGAGGCTGATTGTGCAGAGGGGTAACTATGCACACCCGAACTCAGCCAGTGGCGTTTCCATTATGATCTCAGGATGGCAATGACACCTAGTGCTTTAATTCAGCCTCATCATCAGTGATGAAGAGGAAAGTCTTATTTTCTGTGCAAACTATTTTGCATATTGCTGATTAGACTGCAGGCATTGGCAATGAGGAAAAGAAATCCACAGATGTATCTTTCACTTTGTTATACATTTTACCTTAGAAAAGAAGTGCTGAGAGACGTTTTGTTTAGGATCAGAGGGCTGTGGGAGTTAAGTTTCCTGACTTTCAAATAAATGTGAACTTCCTGAGTACAGAGTTTAGAATCCAATTCCTATTTTCCGGGCAGAGTTTCATTTATTAGTGATAAAATGTGAATTTTCTGCTTCAAAGATAAAAGGCTCAAATAATTTTTAAAGGCCTGGGAAGCCTGAGATAGTTATTACAAAACTAAATTTTAATGAGTTAAGTGTAAATGAATTAGAAACATGCGTCTCCGATTTCTTATTAAAATATACACGAGGTTACAGGTTATAATGAAAAATGCTTGGCAAAGCTCATGTGAGAAGTTGCCAACCGTCAAACATTTGAGACATTTTATCAGTTCTCCCAATGGCAGATGGAAGCTGCTTTCTTCCGTCCTTTTCTTGACTCACTGAGTTCTTTTCAGCCTTAGTGTCTTTCCCAGTTCTCCTCTTTGTGTATGTGTATGAGTATGTGCTTGTGTGTGTGTGTCTGTGTATGTGTGTGATATGTGTGGTATATGTACTTGTTAGTATAGGTGTGTACATGTAGGTGTGCAGGAGCACAGATATGTGTGAGTATGCATGTGGAGACCAGAAGTTGACAAGTATCTTTCCTCAATCACTCTCTGCCTTCATTGTTTAAAAAGATTTATGTTTTTTAATTGTGTGTCTTTGTGTGTGTGTATGTGTGTGTGTGTGTGTGTGTGTGTGTGTGTGTGTGCGTGGACAGTTACCCATGGAAACCAGAGGTGCTGGATTTCCCTAGAGATAGTTATAGGTGGTTATAAACTACCTGACATGGGTGTTAGGAAGCAAACTTAGCTCCTTTGCTAGAGCAGTAAGCTCTCTTGACTGCTAAGCCATCTCTCCAGACCCACCTTAATTCTTTGAGGCAAGATCTCTCACTGAACCTGAAGTTCATTAAATAGGCTAGGCTAGTTGGCCAATGAGCTTTAAGGAGCTTCCTATCTCTACTCCACTGGTGCTGAGGTTAGGCCACCACCATGCCCAGAATTTTAATTGGGCTCTAGTGGTCCTCGTGCACTTTACTGACTGAGCCATCTCCCCACACCCCACCCCCATTCACTTCTTTAATGTGTTTCTTGTTTGTTATTCCCAAGAACCCGTAGGACAAAGTACAAAGATAATATTTCCTTAAGATTCCTGAGCACATACAATTCAGACATTTTACATCTTGTTAGAGAACTGCAGACCCAGCTCTGTCCCTCCCCATGTTCCTGGTGAACATCTTCACACAGGCGAGCTCAGTGTCTGCAGAGAACAGTTACACATCCCGATGACTTAACCAGTAGCTGTTGTACTTTTGTGTTCTTACATAAATATCCTTTAAACCACCAGGATTTCCATTTAAAAGGCCAGGCTAAGGTGATAGATTTTTATGGAAAGGTAGAAAGTAAAGAAACTGTTTTACTTTGTTAAATGCATCTATCAGAAAACTTGCTCCACAGAAATGACTGCTTCCATTGAAGTCCAGAATATTTTATAAAGGAACTGAAATTTTAATGAGAAATTATTGTCGTTTTACTTTCTGCCATCTTAATTCATTATATTTATGTTCATCAAATGCCCACCGATCTTAAGATAGAGATAACTAGTCAGGCATGGTAGTGCATGCCTTTAATTCCAGTATTTGGGAGGCAAAGACACGTAAATCTCCTTGAGATTAAGACCAGCCTGGTCTACAAAGCTAGTTCCATGTTAGCTGGGGCTACAAGGACACCCTGTCTGAAAAAAAAAAAAAAAAAAAAAAAAGAGAGATAACTGGACACTTCACATTTTACTTCCTTATCAAATAAAAACCATCAACAAGCAAACTATCAATATTAAATCCTTAGATACATTGTTTTACACTGTGAACATGGTAAACTACATTCATATTTCTCCAAGCAACCCACTTGAGAAAATAATTCAGTATGTTGACACCAATGACTTAGTTTTCACTACAATTCCATTAGGGCTCAACAAAACATTGTATTGTTTTTGTTCCTTCTCTGACCTTTACTGCTGCGTGTCTAAGCTACACTAAGCACCCAGACAGACTCTTACAGGCTGTCAGATGCAGTGAATCATTTTATTTGATCCTAACTGTGCTGATGAACTAGTGTTTAGATAATCCCTGTATGATGAATGTTGCCACTGAGAAGTTCTTTAAACTCTCTGAGCATTGTTGTCTCAATTATGGTTCTTGTCATACTATGTGAGGGTATTTGAAGGACACAATGAGAGAATATATGTAAATATCATCACACAGTCACCTACACATTATGCACTAAATACCAAATATTGTCATTATTGTTGCCTAGCATCTCTTGGTTGTTAAAGATGAAGTCAGTATCAGCCTGGGCCCTCTAACTTCTAGTCTTGGTCTCTCTATGCTCCCCTGTGTTCACAGAGAAATTTGCAAAAGCATAATAGCTACCTCTGTGTCCTTGTTTCTATTTATTTTTCCCCAACCTCTTCCCCACTGGCATTCAGTAACCTAGCTGCTAGCAAACACTCTCTCCTGCTCATTCAGGGCACACATGTTTAGAAATACTTTGTGTCCATTAATTCATACTCTGGCTTTGGGAACCAGTGCAACTGGTAAATGAACAATTAACATAACAGAGAGTTTCAAGAACCACAGAGAGGGCTGGAGAGATGGCTCAGTGGTTAAGAGCACTGACTGCTCTTGCAGAGGACTTGGGTCGATTCCCAGCACCCACATGGCGGCTATGAACCGTCCTTAACTTCAGTTCCAAGGGAATCCAAAACCCTCTTCTGACCTCCGCGGCATTGCACATCATGAGTGCACTCACATACATGCAAGCAACACACTCATACACATAAAATATAATAATAATAATAAAGAACCACACAGAAAAGGAGGAAAGTTAAAGCACAGAAGCAATAATGTTGAATTTCATTTTAGAGTTTCAGTTTAGTCCCTTTAAGAGAGTTTTCTGGGTAAATAAGTTCTCTAAAATTGGAATGACTTTTGTAATATAAATAGCATGCTTTTACTATGAGTTCTGACCAAATACTAGGGAATTAATCTTAAGGAAGGAAAGATGGAATTTTACAGTTCTTCATTTTTTGCCAAAAAAATAGTTTTCTTGTCCCACTCCTGTTTTGACTATACTAACATTTATGCTGTTTGCATACAACATTGAATACAACACATCCCAGAATCCATCAAAATGTATCTTCTAGTTCCCTGTATGGATTAGTGATTAATACAGCTAGTTATGATTATGTGATTATGCCTCTGTTATGACTTTATAAATACACCCCAACTGCATTCATCTTCCAAAGTTGAAACAAATGAGAAACTAGCATTACTTCATTTTTTAAAGTTTCTGCAAGACAATTCTCATATTACTGTCAGACATCAGCTGTGCAACTTTCTCTTTCGGTAACTATTAATCCCTGAGGTATAGTTCTGCAATCAGAGAGAGGTCAAGTGTATCCAAATAAAAATATGCTAGAATGCCTCTGGCATAATTCTCTCCCCTAAGCTTTCAATAGTGTTACTTCAGGGGACTGGGGAAACAGTGTTATGATTTATCTGAAAATCTTAAATTTTAATTCATTAAAAAAACTAAGTTATTCAGTTAACCTAATAGACTTATGTAGACACAGGATCCCCCATCACTTCTCAAGTTATTTTCTTTTCTGCTATGTTTAGAAAGAATTTGAGCAACTGTAGATGAAATATTGCTAAATATAAACTATATGAACACTATTAGAAACACTTCCCATATTGGTATAAATTATAGATAGTGTAGATTAATTAAAATTCAATTTTAACATCATGTTTACCACAGTATTCGATTGATTTTAGGGTCAAGTTCATGAGAAAATCTCAGAGTTCACAGGGAATGTCTTTCTTAACTTTTAGATGGCAGTTGTCTAGGCTCCTGAGTTCTTCACTAATACAGTAGTCATTGTTCTCTTCTCTATAACAGACCACAGGTGCAAATCCTCTGACAGGTGCCTGCATTTTCTTTGTCCTACTTTGTCCTGGCCTGACTTGGACTTTATGTTAAAGCCCAGAAACTTCCCATCAACACAGTAGGAAGTGAGTCCCAACAGAGTCAGGCTGAAAGCTGCTTCTCATGAGTTTCTTTCTTATTACTTAAACACATCCTAAATCAATGTCATTGGAAGAGTTCTACCACTGGAAAGACTGTTGTAGTGTTTCCTATTTGCAAATAATCAGACCAAGCATGAACAACTTACCATCAATTTGTGATGGTGATTTTCGAGTATTCAATTTGACTCATCTCTGTTTTTTCTTGTTCTCTGTTTCATTATTGACTCATTTTTCAGGCTGGTGGTTTGATGCCTGTGGCCCCTCCAATCTAAATGGAATGTTCTACACTGCGGGACAAAATCATGGAAAATTGAATGGGATAAAGTGGCACTACTTCAAAGGGCCCAGTTACTCCTTACGGTCTACAACTATGATGGTCCGGCCTTTGGACTTCTAGAGCACTCTGCCAGGAGCAATCATACAAACTACAAGGAAATTTGGAGACGCTACCAGATGAATAATCTACATGAAAACTTCTGAAACAAACAATATTCTCTCCCTTTAGGCATCAAATAGCAGTTGTGTGATGTCGCCAAGGTTCTTGACTGTGGATTTGGAGACTTTTAAGTTCAGGGAAGTCTCCACTTTGTTCACTGTGTTCACATAGCTTGACTACAGAGAATGCCTCTCACTGTCATGCTTTAAAAAGGGAAGAAACTGCTCAGCTCACTGTGCTTCAAAGTACTACTGGGTCATATTTTGAAACTATAACAGCCTGATAACCAAGATGGCATATTTCACGAAAAATAAAAAAAAAAAAGAAGAAGTAAAGAATACACATGAAGAATGGGAACAGGCCTGCTAGAATCTGTTGGAGAAGATGAATCACATCAGACAAATGGTGTCTTCTCCATGGAAACCTGCTAACAAATAAGTCGATGTTGCACAGCTTTGACAAAAGGAAAGCACTGTCCACTGAATTGCTTATAAGTTAATGGGCCTTAGAATCCCACTTATGGCACCATATTTACTAGCTGACTTCAGTTAACCCATATTAAAGTGTAAGATCTGTTTTTCTAAGCCACAATAAACTGTAGTGCATGGATAACTGAACGGTGAAAGACAGAAGCATGCTCCAATACTCTGATTGGTTTTGGATACAATTTTCAGGAAAGATAAGACACAATCAAGAGTGGATAAAATAGGTGAAAATTACAATATTTACTTTAAAAATTGACTGATACCCAATGATGTTTAGAGCCTGAGTAAAGTGTAAAGAATGTGAACTTGATTATATATATTATTTATAATCAAGTTCTTAGAACAATATTTGTGCATTTATTATTCCCATTGGTGATATCCATGGAAGAACTATGTGGAGCATATTAACCTGGAGCAAAACCATGCAACTGGAACAGTTCATTGAACAGATCTTCTTGCATGTGTATGCATATGTATGACATCATTAGTTTTTAAATGTTTGCAGTTGTTTAATTCTTCAACCTGTTATTTCATGCTAATTTAATTTTTGCTAATTAACTAAATCTTACTAAATTTACCTTGTTTCTATAAAATTACACTTTGAAGACCTTACAACATGAAAGAATTATAAATATCATTGTACATAGTGTGTTTATACCCAGTCATGTTAAATCTAATAGCTGTTTAATCTGGAATATACAATGTTGTCTTTAATTGATGCATTATAAATATGAGTGTTCAAAGACATCTACTTTATTATTTGATTAAATATATTTCTCTTCACATTTTTCTCTTCAAGGCTCTGCTTCTTAAGCAATTTCTATCTTTAAAATTAATATTAGCGGAGAAAATTAGTAAAACTCTTTCTATATGGATAATAGATATAAAACAGAAAAAAAAATCACAGTCCTTTCACTGTGAAACTTCTGATTGCTAGCTGCTATAAATGCCTTAATAAAGATATTCTTATAGCACAGTCCATGAAGTTTTGGACACAGGTTTTTGTGACAACTTGAAATTACTGCAGTATTTTATCAAGCCATGCTCTTTGTCTATAATTGTTCAAAGTTACAATAAAGAGTGTTTTTAAAAACTGAAATGTGAACTAGTATAAATTGAGTGAGCTGAAATAGACACCAAGGTACTTTCTTAGAAAAGAATATATTCTGCAAGATAATAGTACCAAAATGTCAGACTTGATAACAGTATCCAGGAAGCCTTAGTGGCTTCCCTCCATTTGAGAGACAAAAGCTATTCACATTTTTCAGAAAATGTTTACTATCAAGTCTTTTTATATTTATGTGTGTGTATACAATGCCTTTTGCCTTACAAGTGATAGTTTCTAGTATTACAAAGTTTTTCTAATATTAGCAGCTCCTTTACAGTACTTCTAAGACTCTCCCTCCAAAATCTTTGTTTTCTTTTAAATGAAAGAAAGTAAATGGTTTTTATTTTTTTGTTGTTCCCACAGATTTTTTTTAAAACTAGTCTTTGGAACAGAAATATTATTTCCCAATTCTTATTATAAAAATTGAAATAATGAAAAAAAGCGTGATATTTACTGTTTTGCTAGCTGGATTTGAAAAATATGATGTTTCTAATTATTTATAATAAAGCAGTATAAGTGTTTGATGACTCCATTATGTGCATTGTATAATGCCAACATGTTTGTATCCAGTTAACATGTATAACTTTTGCATTTAACTGTTTCAGGATAAGGTAATTAGGCATTAGAATTTTTTTTTAATTTTTATTTCAATAAAATTTGTGTGGTTTCTATGAAAATTTCTTCATTCAGTCACAACATTGATTTAAATAAAATTGAAAGTAATGTATACAACTTCATCTCTTTTTAATTATACATTTTATAAAATTTAACTTTGAAATCTACAAAAATATGGACTCTCTGATGAATATGAAACCAGATGAACTAAAATCTCAATCCTTTAAAAAAAATCCAGTGTGGGATGGGAAATGAAAGCTTAGCTCCATTAGAAAGGAAGACCAAAGTACTGGGTCTCAGTCTCACACCATTTATCTATGTATGTCCGTCCTGTCAATTATCAAATGCTGTATCATCATGTGACAATAGACAATCATTTTTGTGAGCTGTGGATATCTGAGTGTGCCATAATAGGGAACAGGAAAGACCATATGTGTGGTCTTATCACCTATCCACTTACAAAGCCAAGTCTGCTGCTTAACCTGGCATCTTGATTCATTCAAACCTTCAATAATTTCTACCTTGATGATTGGAAACATAGTTTTTGTCCCACCTCTCCCTTCCCAAGACAGAATGATGAGAGCTTAGAGACCACATGCAGTAAGACCAAATTTATCAGCTGAGACCACCCTGGACCAGTTTGTCCCAGCTGACTCACAGTTACAGCTCTCTGAGGTCACCTGAGCCTGGTTCAGATCAGTAGAATGCTTCAGGTAAATTACATAATTATGAGAGAAAAATTTGATGTAGTGGTTTTTTTTTTTTTTTTAGAGGAAGCATTTCATTACAACAGCATTAACCTATTCAATAACATTTTTCTGAGCTAGGGTACATCTCTTTCAAAATTAGCTGTATATTTTTAGATTTACAGATGATTTACAGATCTACAATCTTTTACGAACAGCGAACTCTATAAGACATGAAATTAAATGATGTTTTAACATTTAAAAAAGATCTCTACTTCGTTGTTAGAATACACAGTTTGATACAGAAACATTCATTTTAAGGCAATTGACATTGAGATGTTTTCACATGCATTTCTAATC